AATTAGGAGGCTTTTGTTACTTACTAGCTGTGTCATCTTGGGGCACATTCCCCCTGCTCTCTTGGCTTCGGATGTCTCATCTGTGATGAGGTTAAACTGGATGATCTCTATTTTCCTTGGAGTCCTGATAAGGCATGGTTTCTTTCTACCATCAGAGTGACTGAGGGCTGGTATAAACAAAATCCCCACCATAAGCAAGTGTTCTCCCTCACAGCAATCTGGCTTCAATATAACTGGAATGGAGAGAAAATAGAGATCAATATAATTACGTGGCATAAAAATCAGATCGACAACGTTGACCATTTTAGCATACCAGCCCAATCTACTAGAGAATTGTGAGTTCTAACTTTCACATTTGTGAGTTTGATTCCTGCCAACCTTATGTCCTAAAGTGATACTGACTTTTTTTTTTTTCCATTAAAGTGATTGATTGATTTTGTAAAGATAGCCATTGACAAGGCCTGGTTTTTGGGGAATCAGTGTGACATGTTGTTGACTCAAAGATCATTTCTTTAGTAGACACTACTATGCTTCACTTACTACAAGGAGGTTGCTTCCCAGCTTCACCACCAAGGATCCTTTTAATTATTTGTCTTTATGAACTCTGTGTTATGAGTAATTACAACTATTAAGCAATATTTATTAAATAGTTGCTTACTTCTCAGACTCGGTTAAGGAAACAGTGTTTAACCACTGCTCAGAGCTTTTGATCAGTGAGCTATGCAATGTAATCAAAAGTTGGTATCATTCTGGCTAAAAAGAAGTGTATGTGATATTTTAATTAGCTCTGCCATAGGTAAATGTAAAATTTCTGTTAGGAATTTGGAAATCAAATATCTTGGAAACTCCCAGATGCTTAAAAGAAATTCCTCGTGAGCCACAGATTACAGTTTGGGAGCTTGATGCATATATTAGGGAACAGTCAACCTAATAATAATAAAATTGTAGTCTGTGGATAATGATGATGGTTGTTATTGCTCATACATATTGGCAATGTGTATACCAGAACTGTCTTTAGCCACTGTATACATTTAATCCTTTATTCCTGAGCTACAGAGAGGTAAAATTACTTACCCAGGGACACACAGCTAGGAACTGGTGGCATTTGAACCCGGGAAGGTTTGAGGAGTTGGGGGTGAGGACTACTGTTCATAACCTATCAGTGGGCAAAGAGAGCACTTTGGTAAATGAATAAGAGAAGGAGAGGTGTTGACATTTATACTGGCAGAGTCTTAAATTGCTAGAATATGGGAAGGCGTCAGATCTGTGTGTGGGGAAACGTTTGAGGTGCCGAGATAGAGTTGGAGACAGGGCACTCTGCAGGTTAGCACCCAAGTTTGTGCATTTGAGTTGAGGATTCTGTGAAGGCTAGAAGTTGGGCCAACAAATAATGTGTTGGTCAGAGTGGTGAATTCCAAGTGGCCAACCTGTTTGGTGGGGGTGGAAGGGGGTGAGGGATGGGAAGTGGGGTAGAGGAGGATATCACCATTTTAAGGCTGGGAACAAGGGTTGAAGAAGGGGAATGGCTCGCACTAGACAATTTCATATATGTGATAAGGTAGAAGAAGGGAGAGAGGAGAAAAGCTAATTTTTGAGTTAATAACTGATGTTCTACTAGAGTTTCAGGGCCTTTAAACCTCTGTGGAGTAGGGATTTGTGGCAATTCTATACCACAGAATGCCACAAAACCCAGGATATTGGGATTCCAGGGTAAGGACGTTAGCAATTTAAGACAATGAAATGTTGAGGGTGGTTGGGGGCCATAAACCCAAGGATTTGAAAGGTAAATCTCTGGAGATGATAAACACTAATCCCCTTTGCACTCCAAGTCAATCACAATTTTAGTCCCCGGGACAGTGCAAATGGGATTGGAGGTCGGGGACAGGGTGGTGAATAAGGGGGAGGCCGCCAGGGCAGAAATTTTGGGCCTCCCTTCCTAGCTTTAACTGGAACAGTTCCCATTTTATATGGAGGGTTTTTATATATGTTCTCGTCAGATAAAGGCGTTCCAAACTGAAAGAAAAAGGCAAACCCGCTAGGGGGGAAAAGGTTGTGGAACCTCTAAAAGGTGATCTAGTAGGGTCCCCTTTGGCCCTTGGCCTTTTTAGAAAAGAAGGACAGACACGAGCAAGGGTGTTTTGACTGAGAGATTGGGAAGGGCCAACACCTAGTAATCAGGCATTCTCTACTGCGAAACCAGTAACAGCAACAGATGATAATTGGATAAGGCAGTTATGAATCTCAGAGCTCCTGCAGCCGAAACACACGCGGGGTCCAGGCGATCTGTTCCTCTGAGCCCAGGGATCCTGAGTTCAGAAGGACCAATCACAGACTGGCCCCTGAAATCAGGAAGGTCTGATAGCTTATTCCACGCAGGAAGTGTTTTATGTTGATTTAAGTAGAGGAAGACACGTTTCCTTCGCAGAAAGGAAAGGTTTTACTGCAATCGCATGTTTGCTTGAAAAGACTTTTATTAAGTTATTTGTTCAGCAAATACTTAATGAGCACACACACACAAAATACTTCATGAGCACCAACCGCCGTGCTCTGAACCCAGAATCTCGAACGTACAAAATTGGGAGGCTGATTTGTTTAACATAAGCTTCCACCCTGAGGAGTTTCTGAAACTTGCAAGTCCTGCTTTAGGTGGTACCTGTAGAGTAAGGGTGATTTTTTTTTTTTTTTTAGTCTACTTCCAATGGATATTTAAATATCTACACAGAACGAAGAGAGCAGTAGAATTTGTAGATTGTACGTCATGGAATTAAAGAACCTTAGAAATCGGGGTGCCTGGCTGGCTCAGTCGGTGGAGCATGGGACTCTGGATCTCGGGGTTGTGAGTTCAAGCCCCGTGTTGGGTGTGGAGCTTACGTAAAAAGAAATAAAAAGAACCTTAGAGATAAACTGGCCCATTTGCTGTATTTTACAGGTCAGGGAGTCAGACAGACTTGGATTGTAAACTGTTTAACCTGGGGCAGGTCACTTAACCTCTCTGAGCCTCAGGTCCCTCGTCGGTAATGTGGGGGTAATAGCAGTTGCCTTATAGAAATACGGTCAGGGTTACATAAGGCTTCATGATTTATATGAAGTTCTTAGGGCAGTGTCTAACATGCTCCATATTTTTTACTGTTATTGGGATCACTGTTTTCCGAGTCAAGGGAACTGAAGCCCAGAGAGGGGAAGTGACTGGCCCAAGGTCACACAGCTTGTTGACATTAGGACAAATATCAGAACTCAGATCTCTTTTAGTAGTCAAATACTCCTCATACTACCCCACTCATTTTACTCCTTTGGAGGAGGTAATGTAAACTTCCCAGGCTTGTGAGAAATATTTTGCTTCATCCAAGTAGAAGGAGAGAGAAGTATGGCAAAGAAATGGCTGACATAGAATTCAAGGGACGCCTGAGTGGCTCAGTCGGTTAAGCGTCCAATTCTTGGTTTCAGTTCAGGTCATGATCTCAGGGTTGTGGGATTGAGTCCCACATCGGGCTCTGTGCTCAGTGGGGAGTCTGCTTGAGGTTCTCTCTATCTCCTTCTGCCCGCTCCTCCCTCTAAAATAAATAAATCTTTAAAAAAAAACAAACAAAAAAGAAAGAAAAGAATTCCTGGACCCAGAAAACGAAAGAGCAAGGGATAAATGGAGAGCAAAGGAGAAACAATAGTTTCTAGAAATTTTAAGTAGCAATATTGGAGCATTATAATGTCTGGTGAATCACAAGGACCGATCTCCATCCTTATTCCTTTATTCATCACAAACATTTCAGTGAAATTGGTGAGGCTTTTCCTTTTTCTTGGGGATAGAGGTGAGGAGGTAGTTCGGAATGCATGTGTGTTTCACAGAACCTTACTGTGACTTCAGCCTCACTAAACAATTGCTATTTGCAAAAGCAAAGTACCCCTATAACTGAAGTTAGAATGGAAGTGTGAGTACTTCCAAGGCCTAACCAACAATAGGTTTTTAAAGGATAGTGGGCTGGAAGGAAACCTCATAGTAGAAGCTGCTGAGAAATTTAGAAAAAAGAAAAAAAAAAAACAGTGAAGTCATGGTGTCCATTGCTTTGTGTAGCTACAGCAATAGGTAAGTACAGCACCGAGTGTGATTGATTTGTTAGGTGAAAATATTCTTTTTTGGGGGGTTATTTCTTTATGTATTTATTTTTGAGAAAGACACAGCGAGAGAAGGAACACAAGCAGGGGGAGTGAGAGAGGGAGAAGCAGACTCCCCTTTGAGCAGGGAGCCTGATGTGGGGATCTATCCCAGGATGCCGAAATCGTGACCTGAGCCGAAGGCAGACATTTCCCCGACTGAGCCACCCAGGCGCCCCTAGGTGAAAATATTCTTCTTTTTTTTTTTTAAGATTTTATTTATTTATTTGACAGAGAGAGACACAGCGAGAGAGGGAACACAAGCAGGGGGAGTGGGAGAGGGAGAAGCAGGCTTCCCGCCGAGCAGGGAGCCCGATGCGGGGCTCGATCCCAGGACCCTGGGATCATGACCTGAGCCGAAGGCAGACGCTTAACGACTGAGCCACCCAGGCGCCCCTAGGTGAAAATATTCCTAAGAATTATAAATCTATGGGGAAAAAAGCTACTCTGTCCGTATGCTAAAAGGAAAGATGGATTTATACGGTTGCCTAAAAAAGAGATGATATATTCTTTCCTAAATGGTACTTCAGTTTCATCAGAGGACTGCAGTGTTGTTTGTTGCAACATCCAAGGAGTATTCAGAGTATTCCAGGAGTTTCCTAAAAGGAGCAAAGCTATTTTACTCAGTTCATTACTGCAGAAAGTCTGACTGGAGTTCCTAGCCCACCAAAAGGGATACACTGAGACTGTCTCAGGTGCAATTATCACACAGAACAGTTGTCCCTTTGTTATTTCATCCTTGAATCTTAAGTTTGCCGATTTCCCTCTCCTAAAAATAATTACACCTTATTTCAAATAAAGTATATGGATAACACCTGGATTGCTTATTCATTTGATACCTTTCGCCTTCACAGGGCATCAGGTACTGTTTACACAGCGCTAGACATTGCCACAGGACAAGAGGTGAGTGCTCACATTCGATCCTGATTTTTACTGTCCCTTCATTCGTATCGGTCACATTTCTTCTTTGATGGCAGCTGTGCCTTACAAAATGGGTGGCACTGGGTTGACGTAGGAATCGATTCCATCGATGTCCAAAGTTTCTGAAGTGGGTGGTTTACTTCTGATTGAGCAAAGAGAAGGGCATGAGTTTGCAGCGCTGAGAAAGAGGCTAGTAGGATAAAGAATGTTTATGCCTTACTCTGTGTACCAAAACAACAACAACAACAACACCGAAAACACAGACACACACACACACACACACACACACACAAACGAAACCATGGGTGTGTGCGTTTAATGACTGTAACTCATTCTTGCACTATCTTTCAGGTGGCCATAAAGCAGATGAACCTTCAACAGCAGCCCAAAAAGGAATTAATTATTAATGAAATTCTGGTCATGAGGGAAAATAAGAACCCCAATATTGTTAATTATTTAGATAGGTAAGTGTTTTCTCTCATTACATACCGGCTTTCTTTATGCGACGTCATTGGCTTGGCAAAGTATTTTATTTAGGATCTAGTCATGTAGCAACCATTCTACAAATACTTCTCAAGGGCTACAGAATAGGGAGTCTCACATCTGTTGCTCAACGTTGCCCACCCATCAAACATTTGAAGACACATTTTATGGTTCTGCTTCTAAGCATGAACAGTTTGTGTAATTTCCTTTAGAGGAGCGTGACTCCGTGTTGGCAGGCAATATAGACTGTTGCGTACAGGGGAGAGTCTCGGTGTTTTAAACCTTTCACCAAGTGTTTGGAGCCGGTACAATCTCTGGGTTTGTGAGTGAAGAAGGCTGGCTGCACCAGCCCCGCTTTAATGGGTGCTTTGTGATTAACTGACAGTGAGGTCTAGGGAATTGAGACTTTAATCTCAAACCTTTTTCCTGGACCAGGTAATTAATGTCTCTTTCATCAGTGGTATTAGCGGTGGGTTATAAATAGGCATTTAAAGACAGCGCTCACTCTTCACTTGTGGTTAACATCTGTCTCATTCAATTTCAGTAAGTGTTTGCTTAGCACCACTGTGCTGTGTACTCTGGGGGGATATAAAGGAAATAAGATGAGGTCTCCAACCTCGATGAGCTTAAAATCTTGCTTTCTGTGTTTTGTGCCAGGTGGACCAGAGGAAGAGAGGGGAAAGGGGGAGTAAAAAAAAAAAAAAAAGAGTCAAATTTTACGGCCGAAATCCGAGCTTCATAAAGTGCCACTTATGGGCTATCTGCAGTAAAGTGACTCCACTCTGCTTTTTTAATTTTGTAAAAATTGCCTTTGTAAAAAAAAAAATGTAGATTTCTCAGATGCTTTCTTTACTAATAAGCTAGAGCCTGTGAATGTTCATTTTTACCAGGCTTCCCAGGTGAATCTCAAGGGCACTGCAGTTTGAGCATCACTGGATAGAAAGTCTTGCTTCGTATTGATGTGGAACTTAGGGCAGGATGGAATCTTTGGGGTCATTCCATTCACCGTAATTCCTCTCTTGCTGAGCAAGGGGAAACAGAGACCTGATCATGCTGCTAATGTGCCTTCAGTTGGTTCCAGATGTTTTGAATTTGCCCAGTTGTCAGGCTCTGGTGAACTTCCTCCCCATGTTTGATCACTTGGGAGTGTGTTCCTCAGTAACCACCTAAAGAAAATGGGCACATTGCTACTGACTTCTAATAGGACCACGACCTCAGCAAAGTACATCCATTGCAAACATGAGTCTCTTTGATTCTGAAACTGCTCGAAAGCATTTCAGCAGTTAATTCAGTGGAATCAAAAATAATGCTGAGATCTGAATAAATATCTTATAAATCCGTACTCCAGGGGCCAGTTCAGTCGAAGACGTCAACACAATGCCTCAAGTTATCCAAAATGGCTAGTCACTGATCCCATTCATTGCAAGAAGCTTTTACAGTGGAATGAGAGCCAGTATTCAGTCACCAGAGGCCTCCTTGCTCTTTTCCTTCCTCCATGGTATACAGTTAGGTCTGATGATCCTTTGGTTTTCACGCATATTCTCTTCTTTTTTTTTATTTTATTTTATTATGTTAATCACCATAGATTACATCATTAGTTTTTGATGTAGTGTTTCATGATTCATTGTTTGCATATAACACCCAGTGCTCCATGCAATACGTGCCCTCCTTAATACCCATCACCGGGCTAACCCCTCCCCCCACCCCCCTCCCCTCTAGAACCCTCCGTTTGTTTCTCAGAGTCCATCGTCTCTCATGGATCGTCTCCCCCTCCGATTCCCCCCCCTTCAATTTTCCCTTCCTACTATCTTTTTTTTTTTAACATATAATGTATTCTTTGTTTATACATGTCTTTCTCTGACTTATTTCACTTAGCATAATACCCTCTAGTTCCATCCACGTCATCGCAAATGGCAAGATTTGGGGGGTTTTGATGGCTGCATCATATTCCATGGTGTATATATACCACATCTTCTTTATCCATTCATCTGTTGATGGACATCTTGGCTCTTTCCATAGTTTGGCTACCATGGACATTGCTGATATAAACATTGGGATGCACGTAGCCCTTTGGATCCCTACATTTGTATCTTTGGGGTAAATACCCAGTAGTGCAAATGCTGGGTCATAGGGTAGCTCTATTTTCAACTTTTTGAGGAACCTCCGTACTGTTTTCCAGAGTGGCTGCACCAGCTTGCATTCCCACCGACAGTGTAGGAGGGTTCCCCTTTCTCCACATCCCCGCCAACATCTGTCATTTCCTGACTTGTTAATTTTAGCCATTCTGACTGGTGTGAGGTGGTCTCTCACTGAGGTTTTGATTTGGATTTCCCTGATGCCAAGCGATGTTGAGCACTTTTTCATATGTCTGTTGGCCATTTGGATGTCTTCTTTGGAAACATGTTTGCTCATATTCTCTTCTAATGCTAAGGAAGTTTCCTGTTATCCCCACCATTGATATTTTCCTCCCATTATAGAATATGGCCAAATGCAGACACTACCTGCAAACTACCTTCCTAAAGGGAATATAGAAGAGTCCCCACTTCCTTAGGCCTGAGTCAATGTCTTTTTCTTCTCTTCTTGTAGCTACTTAGTGGGTGATGAACTATGGGTGGTCATGGAATACTTGGCTGGTGGCTCTCTGACTGATGTGGTCACAGAGACCTGTATGGATGAAGGCCAGATAGCAGCTGTCTGCAGAGAGGTAAGAAAATAGAGCGTTTCTAGCTGATGAGAATGCCAAAACTGGCAGTTCTTTATCTCTGATTATCCAGAATGCATATGACATCGAAGTAATGATAGCACATCTTTTCTACGAAAAAATAAAACCAACTGGAGAACCTAACTTCAATTCAGATCCTTTCCTAATAGCACTTTCCATCCTCTCCCTTCCCAGCCTGTTATTTATTTTAGTCCCTTCGTTCTGAATCTTTTGAGTTCTATTACGTCATTCACAAGGTGCCACCTCTAAGCCTGCATGTTGTAGTCTCAGCGAACATGGGAAGCACTGATAGTGGCATGCAATTTTTTACATGATTTTTACACGATAATCATTTTGTCCTGCATGTGCAACAGGAGCCTTGTAAAATACAAACCATTATAACCCCATCATTTTTGAGAAGGCAATTTAAGCGAGATCCTGCCTCCACCCAGACAGTATTTGCTTTCCCAGGACAATCTGGACGTCCCTCCAAACCCTCCAGTGCGTCTGAGTGCCTGCCTCTCGTCCCATAACGGTGTCATAGCCCTAGTTTCATGCAAAACTGAGGACATTTTATCATATTTTTCTCGGTACTTGAAAACACACTCCTCTTTGGAATCTCATCTCGGACATGACCATCTACCCCATTCGTTGTGGTGAGGTTGTCTGCAGACGCAAGTAGGAACTCTGACCCACTGAAACTTGGAAACCAGTGACAGGAAGACAAAACCAAATAATTGTAGCTAGTCATTTTTTTTATTATTATTTTAAATCGTCCACTTAAACTTCCTCCTGCCTTGCTCTCTTCTCGTCCCCATTTCCTCCTGGCCAAGCATGTAGATGTATCCACCAAACACAGGTATTTTCTATTCATGCAATGAATCAAACTTCTAATATATGGGAGCCCATTCCACCCTGAGCCTGTGGTTTCCAGGTTGCACGACGCAAAGCCATTTCCCAACAAGTGACTATAGCGACTTCATAGCCTAGAAGTGGTTCCCAACCACGGCTGTCCATCACAGGTAGCTTGGGGCACTCATTTTCAATGCAGATTCCTGGGTCCCCCTTCAGGCCTCCCGAATCAAATACCGTGGAGGCAGAAACTTACTGTGCCTGTTGTGTAGGACCAAGCCAAATCCACACCCTCCAGATGACTAGGTCAAAGCATGATTATTAATTGGTTCGTCTGGCTGTATTAAGGATTTAGTGCTATTTATCACACACACACCCCCACTCTTCATGTCCTAGTCTGACTCGGGAGCTTTTATAATGTATAATGCTGTTATAGCATTGATGTAAATGGTAACATGATTTCAAAATGATAAGACAACAGTAATCTGTTTCACATGACAATGTAAATTTATACCTTTGCCCCACATTTATCTAGAAACGAAACTTACGTGGTTTTAAATTCTTTGCGATATAACTAGAACTTGTTTTTCTGATTTCAATAGTGCCTCCAAGCTCTGGATTTTTTGCACTCAAACCAAGTGATCCATAGAGACATAAAGAGTGACAATATTCTTCTTGGGATGGATGGTTCTGTTAAATTGAGTAGGTATTTTGGTTCAGATGGTGTTTGAAAGAGTATCGTGGGATTTCTGCTCATTTCCTGTCTGTCTTGAGAAGAAAGTGGCTATTGAAAGTGATTGGTTTGAAAGCATTTAGAGCCCCATTTGAAGTAAAGAATTTTATTTTTCTAATGCCGTGTTCCTATAGATCGTGGCCAGATTCTGGGTGTTTAACATTTCAGAATTCCTAGGGACTGCCATCTGCTAGATGACAAATACCTAACTAGAAAACCGAAAGATCCTATAAGTTGGAGGGGACAGTAATGGGGAGGGAACCAGATTGAGGACTAGTAAAAATGACATCATGTTAATCGGTTATCTCAGACCCTTTTAAAATCAGGGCCACCAGAGGGATCAGGTAATGATGATTAGGAGCTAGGGAGTGGTGGAAGCTCTGTGTCGAATGGAGGAAGGGACAGCCATATGTGAAAGTGACCTATTGTGAAAAAAAAAATAAGAAGAAATTGAATTGATTGTAACTGGCTTTTCTTCCCCGCAGCTGATTTTGGGTTCTGCGCCCAGATCACCCCCGAGCAAAGTAAACGGAGCACTATGGTGGGAACTCCCTACTGGATGGCGCCTGAGGTTGTAACTCGAAAAGCTTATGGTCCGAAAGTTGATATCTGGTCTCTGGGGATTATGGCAATCGAAATGGTGGAAGGTGAACCCCCTTACCTTAATGAAAATCCACTCAGGGTAAGTCAGGAGAAAACTCAGGTACATCCTCCCTGGGAACGGGGCCAAGTGTCCTTTCTCATCTCTACTGAAAGGGGCCAGAATGGGCTCTTTCCTGGGACAAGTGACGTAGAAGCTCCAAGTTATGATTCTCAAAATTACTATGAGTTATTCTCAATATCTTCTAAGGTGTCCCAGCAGTTTTCCAAGTGCTTGAAGATCATTATTTCTTTTTTTTTTTTTTTAAGATTTTATTTGTTTATTTGACAAAGAAAGAGACACAGCGAGAGCAGGAACACAAGCAGGGGGAGTGGGAGAGGGAGAGGCAGGCTTCCTGCGGAGCAGTGAGCCCGATGCGGGGCTCGATCCCAGGACCCCGGGATCATGACCTGAGCCGAAGGCAGACGCTTAATGACTGAGCCACTCAGGTGCCCCGAGATCAGTATTTCTAATGGCAGGGGTCTTTAAAATTCTTTAGTACAACTTTCTGCTGTTAAGAAATAAAAAAAATAATAATAAAATAAATTTTTAAAAAGGCATTTTTTTTTAAGCAAGATATGGGAAGAAAAGTATTTTTATCATATGCCACGGTTAAATGATCTATCTAGGAAACATTTGCTTTATAATTACTTTAACAAAGTGAATAAATGCATTTCCAGAACACCTATAATTTTTAAATTAGATTTTGTCTCATTGTCAGTAATGATTTATTTAGCAGCAGTGGCTCGGTGGGTATTGAATGGAGCGCAGGATAGACACAGCGCCAGCCTGGTGGAGTCACAAACTTAATTAGACTGTCTAGTAGAAAATGAATGAAAATAGTTGGCGTTGGGTAACTCAGTTTGCTCTTGCAGAAACAGAGGTTTGATCCTTATATGGTCTTGTTACCTCTGCCAAGAGAGAAGCTCCATTTCGGAGCCTAACCCCACCATCTTTATTCGGAGATGAGCCATGGATCATGAGAGTAAAAGGCAAAGGAGTATGGAAGAAATGCTCGCTCAGCACAGGAGTGAGCCAGTAGCTCTTTTGTTGTGCATTGCCCAAGGGTGAGCCAGAAGCTGTGTTGTATACTTAAAGGGCATTCCACTTCCGAAAAAGGAAATCTGCACAGATTCAAATTCTACTCTCAGAACCCAAGTAGCCTACCAGCGCCAACAGCATCTCGCATACTATCTGCATCATTACCACTGAGTCTAAAATTGAATTTTACCCTTAGTAAAAAAAGAATTGGCCTTGGTCAATGGTTAAGTCTTTACACGGTCAGCTTATAAAATCCACATTCACACCAAATATATGTGGCTTTCTGTAGATGTCAAGCAACCTACAAACTCATTGTCTCGTTTTTGCTGTTGAACATTTTGTAATTGGGAGCTACAGCCCCCGTGTAGGGAGCGGGGACAGCCTCCTCGCCTCCTTCTACGGCCTCTCTGGCGCTTGGCCTCTTGTCTGAGTCCCTGTACTGATTAGGAAACAACAGAGAGGAGTGAATGCCCTAATGAATGCTACACGCTATTGCTCTGGTCTCGTGAAACAATCTGGAAGTGAGATGTGCACATTGATTAGCTGCCTGCAGGGCTGAGTGAAAAAGAAGGGGCATTTTCCCACCGTTTGTGGGTCAGCCCTCCACGAATTTAATCAAGCCCACCCCTGACCTGTGGACCGAGCGCATCAGGATAATTACTGGGGCTTATCCTTATTGTTTAACCACCTTTACCCATTAAGAAATAGCAGTGAAAGAACACATCAGGCCTCTTGTTTCGCTGGATTTCCTCCTCTAAGTCTTCGGAGTTTGGAGGCACTAAACGGATTACGGCTATTTTGCTTTCTGCCTTCTAATGAGTAATTTACAACCTGCAAAATTTAAGGATTACATAAATGGCACTGTAAAGCAACTGGTCTCAGTAATGCATTTATTACCTTCTTCAGTTCCCCAATTACAATTGATCGCTCTTTAGCTGGGCTGTTAATTGTTAGAAAAAAGGAAACAAGTTTTAATCTTTATAGGCATCTTCTAGCCTAGGATTAGAACTCATAATGAACAGCTTGTCTCTTAGAATCCACGGCCTTGTATCTAAACAAGTACTTGCAGATTAACAAGCCGCCCGGTTCAGGAAGCCTACATTAAGGCTATAACAAAAAGACCTGTCAGAAAGACCACCCTGTTGAATTCCACTGATAAGGACTTAGTCTAACTTTGCTCATTACTTTCCATGTGTGATCAACCTCCAATGACGCAATCAATCAACAAGTCCGTATTGAGCCAGCCCTCTCCCTCTCTGCTAGGTGCCACAAGTACTTTCTTAGTTTTGATTTCAGAGATGTTGCCCTCGTGTTCGCTTAAAGAAAACACAGCATCTCAGGCCATACGCCCTTATTTGGGATTTGAAAAATGTAGTCACCGAAACCATGGAGGGAACGGAAAGAAAACGATCTAACAGGAGCCTGTAAGGAGCCTTTATTTTCTTGGATCCTGGTGACCAGGCTATGTGTGGGGGATTGGAAAATTGCAGAGCTTCAGGAGAGGTAGAAAAGAGAGGTAGGTTAGTCCTTCTTTCCTTGAAATCCTTCCAATACTACCATTCACTCATCCCTTTGGTCTTTGAGGAGGAAAGTGGGAATTACATAGAAGGACTACAGCATGGGTGGAATAGAGGGTAGCACGTTGTTGTGAAAAAATTTGGCCCCTGTAGTCAGGTGGATCTAGCATGTCCCAGCTCCACAACCTACAAGCTCTGTAGTGACTTTCCTTAAGTCACTTAAAACCTTTATAAACCTCTTTCCTTTGTATAAAATGAGGATACCTGTCTTGCAGAGTGTGAAAACTAAATAAAATAATGCATGTAATTCACCAAGCACAGTGTCTAGCTCATTGTAGGAAATACGTATATACGTATTGTGTGTGTGTGTGTGTGTGTGTGTGTGTGTACAGAGAGAGACATTATATGAATAGAAAGGTGAGAAAGGAAAAAGAAAGGATCCTTAGAGTGCTTTTTCCACATTCATAAAGGGAGATTGGATTCCCCACTTCTGCAAAAACTTCCCCTTCACACTGGCTACACTCTGATCCCCGCAAAGAGTAGAGGGCTCTACAGAGTCCAGTAAAATTACAGTGAACAGGTAACACTGAACAGGACAGGTTAAAGGTGCAGATGGGCTATATCTTTGAAGGCCGTTTGCCTTTCATTGTGGGTTTTTTTTTTTTTTTTGGCATGTGTCTTTGTTGTGTCCGTTGCAACCAAGCAAGCCCTTTGTGAATGTTGCCAAGTTAACATATCATTCATGCAAGGAATTAGCTACTCCGCCCCCCCCAGTTATAAAGTGGTTGGGATTTTTTTTAATGTAAATTGCTCTGTGCTAATTGACCTAATTTATTCATAAAATGCCTTTTAAAGGTCATAGAGTTATTAACTGTCCTGATGTTATGAGGTTGGTACCCTTCCAGAGACAGAGAAGAGACAAGCTTCTACCCGTCCCCCACTGCCTGAAGTCTTTGCACTCAACGTGATTGGCCTTAAACATGTTGTTCTGTGGCCCGTGGACATTTTTAGTGCGGTCTCCAATAATAAAGTGCCTTGTTCTTTCTATTTGCCAAAGTGACCGGGGTTAAAATCGAACGTCCCCTGTGGATACACAAATCAGTGTCAGCGTTCTGCTCATCTCCCCAACTTTTTTGTTAATTGGAGATATGTTCTCTAAAACCTGTGATTATAATGACCTGATTCTAAATAAAGAGGTACAATCATCTCCATAAAGCACATCTTGGGTTTGTTTTTCTCAGCACCAAAAGAGTGCCTCTTTATGAACTTTGCATTCACAGGTAATTGGGCTGTTCTTGTCAATGGGTTTTGATGGAATCTAGCATCTGTGAAATGTCTCCATGACATCCAGTTGAAGTTCCTACTGGACTGTGGGTGGAGCCCTTTTTTATGTGTACTTTTCCAAACCTTTATCCTACTTGAACGTTCAATGTTGTCTTTCAGCCCTCACTTTAAACATTGACGAAACAGTAGCAAACATTGGCTATTTGGAAGACAGTTCTTGGTATTAATAAGAGACCTCTGAATGCTCAAAACACTAGTATAGTGTGTAAACCACTGATCCTGTACCAGTGGGTCTACTCCTTGGTTGTGCATTGGAATCACTTGCGGAGCTTTAAGAAACAATGATGCCAGGTTCCCACACCAAGGACTAAACTAGAAACAAAGCTCTGTGGCAAGCCCTTTCTAGAACCCTATCTAAACTGGAGAACAAGTCTTCATCAGCCCTCTTTGAGCATGGTTGTTGAACCAAAAAAGAGTACACTCTTATTCGGTCCACATTTCTCCATTTCATATTTCATTGATTATATATATATATGTATATATATATATATATATATATATATATATATATATATATAATCACTCTGTCGAAGCCTTGTTGAAATCCTGATGCACTCTACAGTGCACTCTACGGCATTCTCTGGCTTAGCAGTCCAGGAACACTATCAAAAAAGAAATGGCATTAGCTCAGCAGGTACACTCATGATATGCCGTTTCTTTTCCAATTTTACTTCTCCTAAAAAATAGAGTTGATCGTTAAATGTGCAAGCCACTAAGTACATAGCACATATTGGTGATAATAAAGCTATCAGTCTGACTACCCATGATTAGGAGTGCATTTCCTGTATGGCCGGAGAGAAGGGAGGGCAGGAATCTAAAATCATCAGCCCTCAGTGTTGTCTACACTGTGAGGCTTCTTAGTCTCCCTTTATGCACACTTAAAGCACTACACAAATATTTTTTTTTTTTTTTACTATCGAACTAAGGGAATTCTGGTTAGTTTATATGTCTAGAAAAGGGAGTTAAGCAGAAGGGAATCTCTAGCAACTAAAAAACAGCAACTAAGGGCCAAAGTGTTTCTAGCTCCTCCAACCACTGGAACCTGTGTTGTGGATTGGAATGTCTGGGTTTGATGGCGCGTGCTCATTTGGAATTAAAGTCAGACATAAACTTCCTGAGCGCCAGAGAAGCAAGCATACT